ACTTTCACGTAACAACCCAAACAGTACAGCTCAACCCCGTTTAACAGGAGAGCCAGACACCGCTCAGGCTTAAATTTTATAAACCGAACAGTACAGCTAAATCTCGTTTCACAGGGGAACCAGACACCGTATAGGCTTTAACGCTGAAATTTGAATAGTACAGCTCAATCCTGTGGCGCAACCACACAAGTACCAAGCATCCTGATGGACCATTCGCACCATTCATATACACATTCACATCACATGTATGGTTATTCCGATCAATGATTGCGTGAATCAATTATGCACAGCACGAACAGGCCAAAGTTGACCTATTCCGCTTACACGACAGTCAAACTCATTAATGTTAGCAATGGAGACATGCCTTACAATGTCCCAATGACGATGGTCCTCGAGAACACTGAAAAGCAACCACCAGTATGAATGAAATCGGTTGACCGATTTATATTGACTCACAAAACGTCGAAAATCAAAATTCCTATTCATTAAGATATCACAAATATATCATTATTTAATTATTAATATGATTATAATGTTCAATTTATTCGAAGTTATTGAGTCAAACTGATAAATCCTCTGACTAAACGCTTGAATCAGTTTCCTAAGCTCTTCTAATAACCCAAGACTAAATCTACAGGACAACTTCAACATGAGAGAAAAGGAGCGAAATGTGTAAAGAGCACTTTGCTCCAAGGTTAGTTTATAAACAGAAAATCGAGGGTATTTGTAGCATTCTATCCAACGTTATTTTATTCCGTTATACAAGGTTGTTTGCCAACTATATATGAAGTCCTTTAATACAGTATGAATCATGACTGAGAATGGTAATAACTGTCGTTAGTTTGCATTTCACTTAGCTAAACAAACCTTGTAAGAATTTGTTATAACTTAAGATTTTGTTTCGATTAGGACCTATGGTAATCGCTAATTAGAGAATGATTGAGCTTACTCTAATACGAACAGGTACTATGACGGATTTGATAGAATAACATCAGTCACACCAATCACAGATGGGGAGGACGGAAGAAAGTTTTATATTTTGAATAGAAGAGAAAAATTAATATAAAACAACTCTCCATATATATAGTAAATCCTATAACATTGAAACAAAACAAAATTAGCAAACTAAAAGCGATAACAACCAATCAGAAAACAGTCGATGTTATAACACAAATATGAATTAGACAAGTGCTACCGCACCACAAAGCATTTGGGTCTCAATTATAAGCTTTTCAGTTCGAACCCCATTTCATTGAATTAAATTTAGACGGTTATACAGTATTAGTAACTCATAAGTACAAAAAATCTAGTTCAAAGCCCACTACATATATATATATATATATATATATATATATATATATATATATACATAGTAAAGAAATTACAATTATTTATAAGTGGCTTTTGAGTTAACTAATCGGTATTTTTCATCAACCTTAATCTGATCTACCAACTATTTTTGTAGTAGAATCCATTGAGATATTAAAATTATCATAATCTAAACAACCTACATAATTGTATCATTAATACATTTATCAAGATTAACTGATCTTAGAACAGATCAGAATAGATCAACTGTCGAATTCTCAAAAAATACATCACCAGATAAACTAACCCCAACCAACATCCAAACGCCCGCTCTCTCACACACACACGCAGACACAAAAAAATAAGAAATCGATTGTAAAAAGAAAAGAACGAACCACTCAAGCTTATTCATAATCTCCAAAAGTATTAAATTTAAAAGTGAAATCAAAGAAAAACATTATTTCACCGGTTCTCGGAGAAGAGAAAAAAAAATCATCATACATTTTATTGATCAGTTTCCTTTTTATTTTATTGTTGATATAAAGAAGTTTTGAGATAGAGAATAAAATCGTTAGATAGAGAATTGTTATTTTCTAAACTCCACTTTGGGGAAAACTGTTATCTTTACAATTAATTGAATTGAATTGAATTAATTCAATTGCCGAACGGTATATTGTTTGTATAAATAGCTTTGAATTACTCTCTTTTATATATGTGAGAGAAAGAGAGTATATGATACTCTACTCTAGTTGACTAGGCTAAAGTGAGATAATGATTGAATTTGTATTTCAATGAATTAAAAGTTAATCGATTTAATCATTAATTAGCAGCTTGATCAGTTAGTATGATATATGAAAATACTTTCGATTTGGTTCCACAAGACAAAATGAGTAAGCACCGTAAAGTAATTGAAAATTAAGATGAAACGGTTGAGTAACTGTTTTTAGTGTTTGCTGGTTCTACAATTTATGTTGATGTCTGTATAAATCTTGATATGGATTCAGAAAGTTCAGTCAACCTTTGCCAACTTAGATCATTTGTGGTGTAGGTAAGATTTCCATATCGAAACAAAAAGGGGTATACTACGCAGTAATCTACTTTCTTCTACTTTGTGACCGTGAAACACCTTCTTTCAATGTAGAAAACATACATAGGCTATATTCTTTTGATTATAGATGTCTTCTAAAAATAACTTGCGTGTCATAAAACTATCAAAAGACCAGTAATGTCAAAAACGTCAAATACGTTAACGAGGTTGTAGATCTGTATCCACTGAGACGGTTGACGCATATGTCACGGATGCCTAAACGCCGATTCCCCCAATGTTCGATGTTAGGTGCTGTAAGTGTAAGTTGGTTGAAAGCTATGGGTAACCATACCAAAACATTCTATCAGTCCATGAGGTCATCGACTACTAGTTTTAGTCATATTGGTAGGTGAAGATTTCTTGGTTGAGAAACGCATGATAACTGTGACCAGTACCTAAGATATTAAGTGATATAGTTTAGAAAAGATCACAATGGTGAAGATAGCTTCTCTCTTTATTTTACTTGGCATTATGAGATGCAAGACTCCTCCTTGATATATATCTTTTCACCCTAGCTTTTCAATCTTCAGTCTTCCTTATTATCCTTGCAGCTACATTATTTTAGCTTAACAGATATTTATCTTTATCCTGTCGATTTAACATGATATGTCAACCTACGAAGAAGTACGTATGTGTCATGTTCTACATTAATTGTGACTGAACGATTGACAGTTAATAGTGGTTCGTGTCAGAGCTCACTTTTAAATAACATACCCACTACTGTACTTTTGCATGAAACGTTTGATGAAACTACACCAATAACCAGAAATATACATATAGATCAGCCATACATTTGATTTCTTAGTGAATAAATGACTGAATTTCTAGGAAATGTATAACCACAAAAAAATCAGTGATGTGACCCCCATACTAATAATAATCATATGATCGTCAGTGTCTAATTTCAAGAGGTAATTTTCTAAGAGTTTTAGTGAGAAACAGTGATCAGTCAAGTTCAACCATATTGGGTATGAGATAGTTACTGACTAATGGCATTGGAAGACGGCTACAAAAAGTGGTAAATTGATTGAATTTACACAAACAAACCACTAGATTCCAACTTAAGGATCTAATGGTTAAATGCTCACTGCAAGACCTCAATATCCCAAGTACGACCCCTAAAAGGGGTTGTAGATACCTAGCTGATGAAAAACATAAAAGAAATAGCTGTTTATTATTTTCTAGTTTTTAACGATTGTTTAACTAACATCAGTCCGTAAAACAAACTGTGAAATACGCTGTTGAACAGCCCAATCGAAGAGTATATAATTAACATGAACAAGAATTCGACAGTAAAACTGATTAATTGGAATAAATGAGTGGTCAGGTAAAGTAACAATGAACAAGTGTATTGAATAATAATTAGTATTCTCACAGTTGAATTCATGAGTCCATCTAAGCTAGACCACCATTGAAAACTTGGAATCCCTGGACAGTCGTTTTGTGCTTGATACGAGACTACTCAGCAATGCATATCCAAGACCCTGCATTCAAGTCTTCAACCCAGGACCTTAAGTCTAGCGTGTAAACGCTTAACCTCCAAACTAATGAGCCTGTATCGCCTCATGAATTCAACGGTGAAAATACGACAAACTCCACAAATCCTCATACTGATAAGAATTCATAAATAGAAGGGATATAAAACATATAGGCTTCTAGTTACAAACACTTATGTAAAACAACTTCATTTCTTGGATAAAAATACAATAAACAATTTAATGAATACTATCTTTGAATTTTATTTATTTGTAATTCTAAGCTAATGTAATCTATTATTATATTGGCAGTAACTAATGTTTGGAATAGTTGTTTGTATAAGAGACCTTGAACTTATACACAAATCATAATAATAATACTAATAATATTAATAATAAGCAACACATACTGTATGATTTAACTGATAACAAAACATTAGTTTCTTAAATACTTTTGTTTTATATTACGCGTCATTTTCTGGTGAATACGAAAAAACAATGTTATTCTCTTTAAACTACACTAAGAATACTTTAATTCGTACTAAAATCTACAGAACTATTGTTGTCGCCCAACTGTTGGATGAACAGTGATTGGCACAAACGTGTTGTTATATGACTTTTTTGAAATAATAAACACATCACTCGTAAATGATTAGTTTACACTTTATAATAGTGTGTGCTGTTGCATAATAGTACATCAAAGAATACATCCATTATTAAATAAACATATAAAAATGGCACTATAATATCTAATGATTGTAAATTTACTTTCACTGTACGGATTTTTGGGGAAATCGCTGAAATTTCATAGTTTACATTAAGAATTGATCTTAGTTAGATAACCATCGAAAAAAAAGAATCACTTGAAGACTACTTCATTCTATTATGGGACTATTCAGCAGTGTACATCCAAGATGGATCAAGAGATTGCAACCAAGAACTCTAAGTTTCGGGGAGAACACTTAGTATTTAGGCCACTGAATCGAAATTGTAGATGTGGATTGTTGGGGAGTTTTATATCAAGAGAGAAAAAATTTTTAGTGCTTCTTAGTTCTCATTGGTTACCTAAATTAAGTCCATGACGTAAAATATGAAATTAACTTTTTTCTAAAGGAAAAAATAACACATACCATTTTACATCATCCGTATGTTCCAAATAATGTCTTTGACATTGTTCTTCAATATTATACAATACTACAACAGCTGCAACAAAATAAATTAACTCTCCAGTTGGAAGATAATGTAAATTATTTCGACAGTCTCGCCCACGATAACCATAACTAAATAGAGATTATGATGGTGATGACGTAACGAATTATTAGGATAAAAATTAAGGAAAATATTTTGGTTCGAATGACATTACATTGAAAAATGCTCTTTGAAAAAAGGACTTAAAGATCTTTACAAACCTCAAATTCTAATAAATAGTGATAATCATTTGTTCGCTAGAGACTGATTTCGACGAAAATTCTCAAATTAGAAATGAGATATGACTAGTAGTTTCAGATGTCGTAGAGGCAAAATCGATGGTAATGGATAATGTGGACAACCCCATATAAATAGTTTAGACATATCGTGCTCACTGGGAGAAATAAAAATGTTGAGATAGATTCTTGGCGGAGACGTGATCACCCACTACTGAGGAGTCAGTTATTAGGACGAAAAATATTCCTAGTGCCCCCTGGCTTCCAATAGTCATCTAGCTACAGTTCGTCAACAATTTAAGTTGTAGGATAAACGATGTTTTCGCCGAATAAAATAATCAATAACATTTCAATTTATTATTAGAGAGTTCGACTTTTGAGGTATGGAGACTCTTCAACTAACTGAGTGTTCTGTGGAAAAGAAGAACTAGCACGTTCTTGGATATTTAGTACTGAATGAGATGGGAGTGGGTTGGATGGAAACTAAGGGCCTACAAACCAAGATGTGGCATAAGTTCATGAAGCTATTGCCCGTTGATTTGAGCTATTTTAATGGACGCGAACCACCTGATTGAGGTCTACTCAATTATTGTGACCAATGATTAGAGATGTTGAGTGACGAAGCTTATTATCAGTCACAATGGAGTGGATAAATTTTACTCTTTGTCTTCCTGTAGATTTTGAGTTACAAAGTTATTCTGTGCTTTGTATTCCGCGAATTTGTTTTGCCTTTACGAATTAGATTGCCCATGTCTAATCGTTTCATGGTACTGAAACGCCGTAAAAACTTGAACCGATGTACATATGTTCCAGATTCTACGTTGCTTGTGACTGACTGATTAACATGAATAAAATATGAAGGGAGATACTACACGATAAGTTACTGTGAATTACCAGAGAACCATTGAATTTAATAAAAAGATTGATAACTAAAAATAATCTTTATTACTCAGTCAATGGACAAATTGCTAATCGCTTTTTAATTCAATACTCTAAAAGGACATATGTTTGGCAAACAGCGAGAGATAGAAAAAAAACAGTACAGAACAGTAATCACCTATTTATAATCCAGTAGTTTTATGATTCTAATCCCTGATCGACTCATTTTTAACTGATAATAAGGACAATTATACAATCTGTCAAATATTCTCCCCCATAGTCTGTAAGATTTGATGTAATTACACAAGACTGTTGAAAATTACAGCTCTTTTGTTGAAGAAAAAACAACACTCATAGTGTCAGAACTAATCATTATTTCTTAATAAGCACAAAGTTAAGTACTTCAAGACAATTTGCTAAAGTGTAATGATTTATGAAAGTAAATACAAAATAAATAAAAAACAATCCACAAAAAGGATACATCCATTCCAATTTCAACGTCGTATCCGGTGCTTTCAATGGAATTGACAAATCATAATTTTGCATAATTTGTGTAGGCATATAAACATTGACTGGACGTCCACGAATATAAAATCGTAGAATTCCATCACCTGTTTAGCAAAATTTTTTAAAAAATATACCATGTAAAATTGAATGGAAAGGGAGAAAATACAACGGGAAAATTGATAATTGTATCAGATTTTCAGTATAGGATGATGGGCATTGCTGAGGAGTCTCGTACCAGGACGAAACAACGGTTCATTGCTTTCAGGTTTCCAATGGTGGTTTAACATAAATCGGTTCATCATTTCAATGAAACTAAAGAATCTCTATAATCTCACACTGATAGTCATCATGTACTACCTAGTGACTAGCTTCGAGAGGAAATTTCCGAAGTTCTTATGAGAAGCCATGACCAGTAGATCTAATCCGTATAGGGTGAGGCAGTTACCCATGAAAGACAATAGAAGATGGACGCTTGATTTCGTGGATTGATTGAGGTTAGATATCAACACCGTTGAATCTATATCTGGCTGCTCCACTGCTAACATGTTGAACTAAAACTTTAAAGGAATGGTGTACTCTGATTTTAATATCTTGAGTGGACTGATGTCCCTGGTGAGAAATGTGGACTCACTTTACCCAATGTGATAAAAGAAAAACATAAACGTAGCCGTGACAGACCTCTTTTAGGACTAAGATATCACATTCGCTGACCACTGGACAGTTGACATTGTTATGTGTACCTAATCCTCCGAGGTGATCGAATTGCAATCAAATGATCAGTAGATTTAGAACAGCAATAAAGACTAGACAAGCATGATATATTGGTCAGTGATCAATTACCGTTGAAGATGAAAGTTAAATTACAAATAATCAAGTGATTACATCTAAGAAAAATGGCTTGCTAGGTTTACATATGTATAATTTATTTGGTAGAAAACTAGATTTGATGTTTATTTCCTGACCGTTTAATGTGTTCTTAAGTTTACCACTTTTAACAACGTTAACTACATACCGCATTGGTTTTAGTGATCCGACCTTCTATTCTATTTATAAAGGTGTATTAGGCACAGCTAAATCAATCGTTTCACGTAGAACCAATATCTCCCTTGGTGGACAGTTGTTCTTTTATTTCTAGATTCGATATGGTAAGCGAGTGAGTTCAAGAGGATTTAGTCTATGTTCATCATTCACAGTGCTCGTCATATACTAATATTCTCGATAGACAATTCAGTAGTATTAGAAAGATATATCAAAGTGACAAATTTATTCACATGTAGAAATACAATGAGCAGTTAGACTATAAATATGGGGGGGGGACTCGAAACTGAGTGTAATAGTGGCTTGATGAATAAAACAGTCGACGATTCAAATCCAAATTCCGCTCAGTACACATCGATTTGGTTAGCCGAGTAATATTACTAGTCCTCCTATGTACATAAACAAATACCAAAGCCTACAGCCGGGTAAATAATCTTTAGCAAATGAATTGGATTTTTTAAAAATTGAAACAAACTAATTAAACTGAAAATACTATCAATTACCTGGTAAATAAGTAGTTTCCTTGGAGCTAAAAGATTTATCAAAAAGAAAAAGAAAGAGTAGGAAATAAAGTATTAATCATAGATTTGCTCAAATGAAAATAAAGAACTGCAAATAAGTGATCAAAACTGAAAATAAAATGAAAATATTACGTAATTATACACAACGTATCTCCCTTTCTATAGGTGCAATTATAAACAGTAACGACATATACAAAGCACCAGTGTAGTGTTAAACATTTAGTGTATTACAGTTTATGGGTTGTGAATAAAAATGTTGATAGTTATTGAATGCTTAATATTTTTTCCGATGGAATTTATGAAATAAGTGAGATTGTTAGTCACAAAAAATAATAACTAAAAGTATTAAATTAAAAAATGCTTAAATCACACCAAAACATATTATAAGAATATGTGGTAGATCTTGACTTGCTCATCATCATGAAATTTGGGTATACATGATGGTTTATTCACTGATGAAATCACTTCACGATTTGTAGGACATATTGCTACTCCACCAGGTTTCCAAGCCGTAGGATGAAGAGAACGACCAGTTGATGTTAAATGTACAGAACGATCATCTGAATCATTAGCACAATAATTTACTGAGGAAGATGGTCCAGAGGATGGACGACCACGACGAACAAGATTTGGCGGTATACATAAAGATGATGGTGGGAGAGCAGGTGGTGGTGGAGGAGGTGGAGCAACTGTATGATTTTTTCGAAATGATGAAGACAAAGATACAGAATGTTGTTGATGTTGTTGACCTGGAGGACTTTGACAATGATTCATTCGATATATATCATCTAATTCACCATCATAAGCTGATCTCCAAAATACTGTATAACCAGATGGTCCATTAGAAGCTTCATAATATCGTGAAGATGTATTCGATTTTAAAGTGGATGATTTTTGTTGGTAAGTAATAGGCTCACTTTGTCGTGACATTATCATATCATTATATTCATACATAGATAAAGTTTTGTTGTCACTTTCATGTTTATTATTATTATTGAAATTATGAAATTGTCTATCCTCTGAACTAGCGCTAGTAATCCGATTTCGTCTAACCAATAATTAATAATAAATACAAATTTATATATATATATATATATACTACTAACACTACTACTACTAACTTAAACACTTGATAGTTATGTCAATAAAAAAATGTCTCACAGGTATATTAACTATAAAGAAGTTTCAAATATACTACTAACACTACTACTACTACTAACTTAAACACTTGATAGTTATGTCAATAAAAAAATGTCTCACAGGTATATTAACTATAAAGAAGTTTCAAATATAATAAATATCTAACTAAATTAATAAATTAAAATTTCTATCTATAATATTATTGAAAATGAAGAGTGTTTTAGAACTTGCAATGAAATTTTTCTCACAAAAGTACATCATTTCAGTAACTGTTCCACATTAAGGAACATTGAAATTACTGTTAGGGACTCCGCTCATAAAGACTTATAAATACTACTAAAATACCTACAAATTTTGTGTAATCAGAACTAATATTGTGAAATTGCATACATGATCACGTGTTACGTAGAGTGAAGCATAAATAATCAATTTATATCATAGTAAATTACAACATTATTCTTCTAAATAAACCTTATCATCTAGTGGAAATTGAATTTTAATAAATAACCAAGCAACCACTGACTAAAGTAGTCTCAGTGTGGATATCAAAACTGGGACCGAAATTCATCCATCTGAACAGTCCTAAACAGGACAAAATACGCCTCATTAATTTCATTACTAGCCACTATCCTATTTTATTCAAATAATTGTGGCTTGATAACAATACCAGGACAATGCGCTCAAGATGCATGTATGCCAAAAGAGACTGATTGGTTGCCGTCCTTAAAATCAGAAACGGGAAAATGTAAACCCCTAACAGATAGTGGCAATTGAGTTTTAACAATCCAGTATACATACAGAGGTTCGTGGAAGTGTGCATGTGATTTTTGTGAAATATATCAATTGAATATAGCGCTGATAATATTAACCAGCAGGTTACGTTAGAGAGAGTGGAATATTAGTTACTCCCCCAACGATTAAATGGACATAAAGAAGTATCTAAAAGAGGTAAATTAACCAGAAGTTTTTACCATTGTTGTAATTACCATTATCATAAAAAGTTTGTGGCTTGAATCACAAATTGACTTTAAGCTAGACAATCGTTGAAAACTATAGGGTACTTAGATATTTCATCTGAGTAGAAAACATCTAAAAGTCAGATGATGTCCATCCAACGGATGCTGAAGACCCTGAGAGTCCTGTCCATGATGCAAAAGTAGGTCCACACTCCTGGAAGAGACTTCATACCGAGATAATAAATAATAGTTTGTATTTATAATTCCAGTCATTTCGCGATGTTGTACGACCATCATTTATTGTCATTGATAATATTTGTCACATCCCTAACATGGTTGAACTCTAATGGTCACGGCTTCTCACCAGAAGTTTAGGAACTACGTTTTGAAACAACTTACCAGAAAGCACACGATGGGTGTAGTTTTGAATGTTAGTAAATTTGAAGCTTCACATCACAAACTGAATTCGACACCTAGTGAGATGGTCATGCTAAGGGAATTCCATATTAGAATAAGGTTAAAGTTAAGTTTGTCCAATTGAAGCCGATTTATGATTTGAAACTTAAAATCTAACAATTTTCAATACAGCCTGTAATAACAAGATGCTTTTTTTACCTATGAAATATAAACATAGATTCTTAGATAAACAAACAATGAATTTCTATGAAGTAAACCAATAATCAATCCATCTAAAATGAATTTCACTAAATAACTGTTTAATAATATAATAACCACAAGCAATAATCAAAATAAACACCTTGTTTGATTTGTTGCACCGCTAGCACCAGCCGTTTGATTATTTAAAGTAGTTGATGATGAACTTAATCGAACACTTTGAGGACTTTTTAAACGAGTTCTTGCTGTTGTACTTGTTGTTGTAGAATGTGGAACAACTAATGAACTGTCACGTGAATTTTTCGATTGATGACCAGTAGAAGTAGGATTACGAGAATTTGTATGTCGTTTTGATGAATAGGACGAGTCAGTACGTGAATTAGTTTTAGTTACATTGGAGCCTATAAAATAATAAATAAATAGTAAATTATTATACAACAAGGAAAAATGAATATTAAGCTAACGATTGTTATCTAAGTAAGAAAAGAAATGATATGATTATGTGAAAATTAAATAGAATAATAATGTTTAATGTGTTGCGTAATACATTGGTGTAGTAGTTTACAGGCATAACATTATATAATACGTATATATATACCACACGCACATAGATATAATGACAACAAGCATATTGGTGTAGTAGTTTACATGCATAACATAATATACTTGAAGAAGTTGGTTAAAGAATAATTTGCACAAAAATTACCCAATAACACAACGGATCAGATGAACAAAAAAATGTATCAGTATTTTTATTCGCAAGAATTAACAATTGAATGAACAAAAAAAAGAAAGCAGGAACAAATTCTGTTAGCAAGAGATACCAATAAAAAAAGGTTTAGACAGACACAAATGTCTACCGTTTAATAGCTGCTAATGAACAATGGTGGTAATAAGAGTAACAATAAATAGTAAGGTTTCAAAAGTAATTAACATGATGTGTTTATGACACAGAACATATTTAAAAGTACCGTAACCAGTAGTGTAACATCTTAATTTGGATGTTTAATTAAATGATACCCAATAGAAAGAAAGCACAACACCACCATTGTCAAAACTTCAATTTGCATACAGTGTAATGTGTAAGTATGGGATTATGACGTTGACGAGTTCTATAAGCTAGATGGTTTAATACTCCGTTAAGACACTGGTCTTGTCGCGGATTTACATTAATAATAAGTCGTATACTAGGATAAAGCACCTGTACAGTGTGTTCCTAGTTTTAAAAACTTTTGACAGTCTGAAGGTGTCGGTCTGCCATATAAACTAAAAAGTAAATGCTTTCCACGAAAACTTCCTGTGATAGTATTAACCAAAAATATATTCACGAAAAGCCATACTAAGATGACTTTAATGAGAGTATAATACATGGACGAACTAAGAAAATAACGGTGACAAGTTTTCATTTACTTCTTAGCTCATCTGTAGCCGTGTGGACAAATAAATTCTGCGCAAAAATCCAAGAGGCATAACATGATTAGTTTGTCCATTAAATATATTGCCAATAGGCTTAGGTTTATTTCAATATTAACGGGTTATGATTGAAATATAGGGATAGTGTCTATTTCTCCGTTATATACAATCTACATAGATACAATTGAGCATTTGATACTTTCAGTATTATCCCTTTCACTTTATATTGATGAAAAATATGAAAGCTAACGGACACCCATTTACCTAGTTATCAGGTACAGAATCATGTACATGGTTTCAAGTCGTTTTAAATGTGAGAGCAAGAGATACTACCTAGTTGCGTAGAAAGAAGTATTTTAAACGAGGTTTGAGTCTGGGATTTATTGACTAAAAGTTGAACACTTTGGTCATTGATTCAAAAAGCTGAACCCAACTTAGGTGAGGTACTCATTGAATCACTCCAATTTTCCGGTGGTTAAAGCATGGACGATTTATAACCACTAAACCACTACTCCACTAGACACACTTTCCTAACCGAATAACCAACCATCAGAAACAGAAATAGCTAGGTTATTAGGTAACATATATACCACTGAATGGTCGATGAATAGTGACCAATGTCATATTGTAATAATCCTTTAGTATTGATCAGATTCTATCAGTCTAGTTGCATTAATCTGAATGACTCAGGATTACGTGCATTGTGTTGAGGTGTTAGGTGGTTGGAAGTAATCGGCAGGGATCCCTGGACCTAGGTTTAGTGCTAATTTAATGGAATACAATCAACATTGAAAGATTAGACAAATATGACATTAGTCAATACTAAATGTTCAGTCAATTGTAAGTATTTCAGTGCTATAAAAAAGTCAGTAGCAACCTGAACAACACAGATTGTGAAGCTGGTTGACATGAGTCAAGATCCCCTAAGCAGTATTAATTCCTTCGAAATCGTAGGTACGTTTTGGTGATGAGTGCCAGCTAACAAGGAAGCTAGGTTGAGAAGAGTATCTTGACGACCACCTACAACCATCCAGTAATCCTATATCAAACAGCCATCCTCAGTGTCTAAGCAGCCATTTGATCTCTGTTTAGGGGTTATCTTAAGTAATCAAGATAACAAAATCTATTTCGTTACCTCGTGTACTAGATGTAACTGAACAAATCAACAAGAATATTTATAGTTTACATTATGAACTAATCTTAGTCAGATAGCTATTGAAAACCAAAAAGTACTGGAAAATTATTACGTTCTAGTATGGAACCCCTCATCAGTGAACATTTAAGACCCTACTGAGGGAAGAATCAATATATAAAGATAACCCTTGAAATTTATGCGATGGTCTAGATCTCAAGTAAAATCTTAATGTTGCAAATGCAAGGAGAGAAAAATGGAGAACATGAATAATCATGGTAACATTTCTTCTTGAACAAGAACACCATTATCAACACCGCATTGTAACAGAGAGAAGTTAGAAAAAAACACCAACTACAATAAAACTATATATGGATGAGTGCATGTACACAAAATTCTTAATAGCTATATATACATATATACATATATCATGCATAAGATTTTAATATGCAATGAAAAACTTAACAATACGTAAGAAAGCCGACTGATACATACAATGTATCCAGAGGGTTGAAAGAAACCATATAGACATTTGCACACATACACACACGCACACGCGCACACACATAGAAACAGAGAGTATCAATATTATGTACACCCTTGAAAAATAATAGTAATAATAATCATCATCATCAGATAAAAATGGAAATTATTAAAACCAAAAATAAAAAAATAAAAAAAATTGAGATAATTTTGTTTTACTGAAAAAGAACAATATAGAAAAATAATAGAGAATGGATAAGACAGTATACAATCCAATTATATCAGGGTAATAAGGCTAAATAAATCTAAAAAAGCATCTATTGTAATGACAATGTGCTCATTGATCCATTTAATCAACTATATAAAACAAACCTAACACTCATAATATTAGTGTACTGATTCCAGTTTGCATATATTTGTAAAACTAAACAGCAAAATGAAAGAGGCGGTTAATGATTGAATTCTCAAAACAAGACATGATAGAATGTCGTTGAACTAGAGTAAAATAGAATTGAATGTTAGATAATTAAATTATTCTAATGCATGAGACGTGGAAGATCGATAACTTTGCATAGATCGACAGTAATTTTTTTTTAAATCCGACTATATGTTCAATTAGGTGTTATATTCGAACTAAGAACAAATGAATGGTAACTGCTAGTAATTATTTATGAACTGTTATTTACCATTCTTAATTTATTTCCAACTTATTAGTTACAATCTCAGGCACTTTTGGCTTGATTTTATATAATTATTATTCTTCATTTCATGTTTTGATGGGGTCTGGTGTGACTGTTATTTACCATTCTTAATTTATTTCCAACTTATTAGTTACAATCTCAGGCACTTTTGGCTTGATTTTATATAATTATTATTCTTCATTTCATGTTTTGATGGGGTCTGGTGTGGTTGTATATAAACCACATATATCTGAAATATACGATTCATATAGCAGAGGCTGATATCTGTGTTCTGGACTAAACGGGCTAGGTTGTGCGAGAAATTACTAAGCAGAGAACCGATGGGGACTTAGAGTTGAATCAAAGTTGTTAGTGCTGATTAACGTATTATTAGTTTAGCATATGAGTCGGTATTCTGATTGGAAATTTTGTTATATGACATTTGACTGGTCATAGGAAGTAACAGTAGGCAATAGACGAATATGCTGAATACACACCCATACACATAAACAGAAACGTTTAAAACAATACATGATTACTCAACCAATTAAATAATATTTCTTGACAAAAATCTAGATTCGATGAGAAAACGTCTCATTACATGAACGATATATGATAAATCCAACAACCCTAAGGTGAAATAATACTTTACTGATGACCTTCAGTAAAACTTAGGATAAACTTGAGAATGTAAAGCCAATTTTTAGCCAGTCAGAACCAAAGTGATATAAATGAATAATGTATTATGAAAAAAAGACGATCTAAAGTCAACATCGTCGTTCCGAATATGCTCTTTAATATTAAAATTGCTCTCTATATTCTGATAAAGTATGCTTCTATCCATGTAAGCTGATAAATTAATTTGAACCGTTTCTTACACATTAAAGTTGATAAATGGAACTGTTTTTGAAGATTGTAACAATCAAATAAACTGATTGTTCAATGTTTACTCCCTTTCTTCTATTTTTCTATCAAATTTTAATTTTTTTCGAGTACATTAAAAGTCCCCATGGGGGCCTATTCTTTGTTTTAAATGTGGATAAAAACAGCTTTACGTTTGTATTGCTAATTTGTTGAACTTTTAATATGCTAACATTTCGCCCTACTTCCTAGAATATTGTAAGTGTATTAGCTGGCTGTTGTTTAATTCATTTTTATTTTTCTCGATTAGTGATTCTTCTTAGAAAGATTTGCCTTTTGGATTAGGTTGAGGCTATGAATAGTATAAAGGGATTGCACCATCCAACATATCTGAATCAGGGATAAAAAATTTCTCATGGCATAGATAAGCCATAAAAGTTGATATTTCTGGTGAATACAACTCGTGATTGATTGCTGAGCCAAGACAAACAGCCACTCCGTAATTTGTACCACAAATGATTATTTTTATACCGTAACTCGGATTCCTACTCTGGATTTCACTGCATGTGAACTGCTTGTATTTGTGCCCATAAAACAAATGTCTCGTGTATAATCAAGCTCTCAATCGATGGTCATAATTGTGTATACCACGTGACCTAGTGAGACCAAGTTAATGATACTGTATTATCGTATTTCGTATCAGAGGACAAAACTTAACTTTTTCGACATTACATTGAAAGGTTTTAAAAAAGATTCTTAAATAAACCGTATAGTTCACACAATGACTACTAAACTTAGGAGAACGTCAGTAGTCCTGAGGAAAAAAACACCTTACGCAACTCCACTTATAAACTTCGGGACTTTACTCAAGATATCAACAATCCCCATTGTAGTCGTTATAACAGTTTTAATTAATTGTGAAAATGATTTTTTATTGCGTAATATGTGACATGATGTGGACAATCAAAAGTTGGAAAATTATGGTCAAGAGATTAAGTTTATCATACATTTATTTTATTTATTTAAACACATAAACATTGTTCAATAAGGCACCAAATATATATGCGCTACACTTCGCCATCCGATGTGTGAGAGAAGGAATACTGGCCGAGTGCCCAAACCAAAGCAGGTGGTTTTCTTAGGGGCCATATCACCAGCAGTGGAGCAGCGTTAGGAGATGTAGTTTCATGGTAGCCGGTGACCAACAATGAGTTCATATGCCATTCGTTCCTTTAAAAGTCTTGAACACATGTGCGTCATTGGTTTGGAATAAAGATCTTCCAATTTCTCTAAGTGGATTCTCCACATCCACCAACCCGGTTAAAGCGCTAGACATTCACTTTCCGTCTTCTCAATTTCGTAAACAACAGTAATGCTACGAAAAGGCAGTGGACAGGACTTCTCTGGCAGTGGCTGTGTAGACATGGCCGTGTGAGAGCATTTAGAAAGGGAGAGCTGACTCTCCCCGCCCTCGGCCGCATCAGGGCATTTGGATATTGTTAAGGGAAAATATCGTTAGTAAGATATTGTTAACACATCAACTCATATTGTGACAGATTTTTTAGTGAAGAATATAAATAGGAGTAATAAATTTACTTCATACTCAACAATTAATTATACAAAAACAGTACATAACTACAGATCGATTAACGTTAAATACAACAACAATAATGATAATAACAGATCAACACTATTGAGATGGTGAACAAGCAACTATATTCAAAGTGATGTATATCATATTCAAAACAATGATTAATATTTATTTATATTAACAGTGCTATATCTATAATACGTGTTAAATGCAATTTACAATCTAATTGAAAATTAGTTGTTAAACTGATTTAAAACAGAAAAGACTTAGTCCCATTAAGGTTTAGGTCGTATACACGTGATGCATCAATCTTTTTCTTATCCACATATAATATACTTAAAGCAGTGAGAATTATCATAGATTTTACAGATATTGAATTAATAATAATATTATTGATAAATAATAGGGCTTTCTGAAAAGGCCGGGTATACTGATGGTCATAAGGCTAATACTTCTAATACTACTACAAGGAACCAACACGTACTTTTTCAAAGCTATCTAAGCAACTTTCGAGATATTGATCAAATGAAAGTTAAAATTGTCAGAGAAACAGATATTGTATCAAGATAGGAAGTGACCTCAATCGAACTCACCAAGTACAGATTTATGGATTTATCTTTAAGCCATACTATGTGTATGAGGACTAATGTTACTACCTGGTTGGTCAAACTGAAGTCAGTAAGGCGAAACTCGAACCTGTGATCTAGTGGTTGAAAGTTTAAAGTCTTCACCACTAACCCACTACTCCATTAGGAAATGGAAAAAGGGTAAGAGCTATTTTACAATTGTCGTTATGGTATAAGTTATAGTTCTTTTTTAAAAGTACTTCTACAGTAGTAATATTTTTCTATAACACAGACGAAGGGAAACAGATAATCCGTCTTAAAAATAAAATATCTATACGCACAATGCGCCCTATACCTAACCATAACAGATAAATACAAGAAGGGATACAAAAGTGAGTCGCCTTAAAATGCTGCAATTTACGATTGTTATTGTAGGCGAAATTCACTGTTATTCGCTCGGTACGAAACAGTGAGGCCAGCTTAAAAGATAAATATACCATTACCAGATTATTTTGTTTTGATTATGAAACCATTATTTTTGACAGCGGCACCCAGAAAGAAGTACGTCAAAGAAGACTGATAGCAGACCACAGATTAGATTAATGCATACTTTATGGACGATGATGTAGGGACGGATAATTGGAAAAGATTAGTATCTTCTGGTGTAAAATTATATAATATACTAACGTTTTTCTTATTGTGACTATCAATTCCATTCAACTCCGTTTAGTTGGAATATAATTTCGCTCCTGTTTAACCATGTTCTGATTTGGGGACCAGTCAAATGAAGTAAAGTGTCCGGATACTAAACAAAAAGAGTAGCAGCATTGTATGAAGAAAGATCTTAACAAAGACATACTGACAATGTTGTTAAGTGTAAATCATGTGAACTTATACAAGTGTGAAAATCGTGGTGAATATAGGGTCCATGTGGGATAGCTGTAGATCTACAATTTCAAACTACTGGTACAGATACCCTCCGAGATGCTTTGCGAGCGAACGGTGTATGAACCCATGTTGAAAACCTGGTGCTAGCCAAATCAATCCCTTAACATTGTTCCATTACCTTATGGGTTGAAGCTTTTGGTCAATAGATTAGAGGTTCCAAAAAAATATTCTGCTACAATCAAACGCTCAGGCAATGTAAAGTCAAGCGTTTTGGCAGACGAGATGAACCCATGTATGATAAAAGTAATAATTCTTCATGCCAATCCGAATCGCAATCAGTGTTGTTGCAAAGTTTGAACACACAATTCTGCAATGTGATTAGTTTTATCAAACCTACTCTTTGTGAGAAAATAATGCTCTTTATAATGATAATGTCTCTTTATGACCATATGTATTCCTCGAAAATCGACCACAGTCGTCCCTGAAGCTTTAATAAGACACAGAATTTTGAAGTGAGGCATTGTTGTAGAAGTTTTGTATTTCCTAGCACACTGTAACTTCCTTGATGAGTTACTTGGCTTGGAATGTCATCAAACATGAATCAGCATAGAAGCTAGTAACTATCCCGTTGTAGTTTTTTAACGTGTTGGTTACAAACCATAGGATTCGCCTTTCAACTTGTTTTAGTGCTGTGTCTATTACATGTTTTAACTTTTTACTTCTATGTGATATGATCATTAAGTTCTGTGACGTATTTTTTTAGGTTCCCTACAGTGTACTAATAATCTTTTTGTGTTGTAAAATAAACGTTACATCTATTCTTAAATTTATTTATCTGTAATCGATAAGTGAATGGCAAATTAGGCTTTAGAAATTAATAACAGATAAGATAAAAATATAGAAAAAAAACGCTAAAATCTAATATATATAAATCTATGGTGAAAGGTGTTGCTCAGTAAATGTAGAAAAAGAAAATTATCGACCAGTACGTAGCTAGTTTAAGACTTAAGGTGTTAATTCAAACGATATAAACTAGACTGTAAAAGGTTTTGAGACTAGTCTCGCTACATTCAACAAGTGTAATAGTATTAGGTTAAGGATATATTATATTTAATAGAACAATAAATACTATTGAAAAAGTCTATAAAAACACGGGAATGATTAAGAAATGTATTCCTCTCGGAAATAAAATAAACAAAAATAAATGAACGGTCTTACTTAATTTACTCTACACCCTGAAAACACCCTTGATATGAATATGTGATCTTACTTATACATTCAGCCTCTCAAAAGTATATAGTTGGTGGCCCCCAAATGCCCTGGTACGGCCGAGAGTGGGAGAGTCCGCTCTCCCTCTCGAAATGCTCTCACATGGCCACGCGTACATAGCCCCTGCCAGGGAAGTCCTACTCACTGCCTTCACGTGTTTAAATCTCATGATGAATTTCCTCAACCCTAAACTATCTCAAAATAAAATAGTCAGTGTAACAAAAATGTAAGACGCATCAAATGACTCAAAAGGCTAACGGAACTCTATGCGTTAAAACATATCCTGCTGAAAGTATGAATTGAGGCCTATGTATATCACTAGTAAGTTCTGAAGTTAACAAGGATCTGAATATTTGCCAAAGACACACTGAAACGCATTTTCAGCACCATAAGCAGAAATATTAGAAACCATAATTATTTTTGGGTAGTGTGGAACATAAAAAGTGACAAATTTAAGATATTCTGCAGACGCAAGTCATATATAGTGACATCGTGAAAATGGAGGCCTTGACATATCTACCCTTTATAACTGCAAGAAAAAGTTAATTGTGCAGGTAGGACGCTATTAGAATCTAAAAATCACTTTGATTTGAGGCGTTTCAATTTGAATTTCCATCAGATATCAAATATTTTAGAATCCAGTGATTCAGATTAGTTACTCTCTACTTTTGAATTAATTACTGTAGCTTCATTGGAAAGCGGTCATATATATATACATAAAAAATGTACTAACACACTGACAATATAAGCTCTTACTACTATGGAGTGAGTAGCAATTAGTATGTTATTGAAAATACTGGTGGCAAAAATAAAGGTGTGAATACTTACCATTATTGTGCAAAACTGGTCTTCGAGAAGAAGAATGCAATTTCATACCTCTAGCACTTTCCAAAAGATTTAAGCGACGTAGACAATCAGCCAAAGAGCTTCTTAGACAAGCTAGTTCATTGGCTTGTTCAGCACTTCGTTTTTCCAAATCTATAACACGGTCCTGGAGACCAGCATTCTCCAAGTTCATTAATTCAACTAAATGATTTTAAATTAAAAACAGAACTATGAATAAAAATGATCAGAACATCCCAAAGTGCTTGTTAATTCAGCAAGTCGCATAGTTTTAGCATAACAAAAAGAATAACAACCCGTATATCACAGGAGTTACAGTAGTTCATATTCTAATGTACAAGGTTTCTGGAAAACCTTATGAGTGAATAACATGGAGCTCATATTCAACTACTAGTTCGTGCAAAACTAGGATCTTTGCAGTTCAGTTAGTACCTGTAGGAGTACAGCAGACGAAAGATTGGTAGATATCTGATTGTGGAGAAGTGACTCAGTGGTTAACGCGTCTGACTTTCAGTCACTAGGTCACAGGCTTAAACTTAACCTGTTTCCTTCGATTTGAGAAACCATGTAGTATCCTTAACCCTCACACAACGTTGCTCAAAGCTACTTTCACGAACTTGTATTTCGTTAATCTTGTTTGGCACATACATATCTGGTGTCCATATGTACCATATTTTGCGCTTTAAGTAAGAATTTACCACTATGACCAAGAGAAACGACGTAAATATCTGTACTTAGGTCCTGTATAGGTTAAAAACGAAATATTGTTTACTTGTGCCAGTATTTTTGCGACTGGCAGGGAATTAGTTAACTAAGTAATGCAGATTGAATGTCCCTATTATTATTTCGGTCAAGGAAATATTTTTTTGTATCCTGTCGACTAATTGCTGTTCGTGTGCTCTAACAAAAACATAATTAGGTACAAGAAATAAAGCCGAGTGGACAAAAAGCTGAAAAGTTCAACATCTTCATGGAGGATATACGCACCATATCGTTTGAACAGATCTAACCTCAGTGCTGATTAACCAAATTAAGTGATTATTGCATTATTGCCAACAGAGTAGATATATCATCTACGTTCATTTGTATATTGTTGTAGGAAACACTAAACCAAAAGTGCATCTAAAGCCAAATACAATACGTCTTGTGAAAAATGTGTCAGAAAGTAGTTTTCTAGAAAAGTGGACTTCGTTGAGTAAATATGAGTACATTCTTAAAGACCTATAACTCGTACGAAATGAATTTCCAACCTCCTATGACTTTTCTTAGAATTTCATCACATGTTCCTCAAAAATTATACAGTGAACCCCCTGAACCTGTTTCTTCACAGTGCAACTAGTAGAAATACGATTAGGTCATCGTTTTCTGATAAAAAGCTACACAAACACCAATTTACGCCAATTCTTACCCATTTTAACTGGGAGGAAACACATTTTTATGCGCTGACGATAAAATAAATGAAAATAACTACACTAACCATGCATCCCTCAGACGTTCTGATGTAGTTAAATTAGTTGCAAGGTCGTAGGTTATTGTCCTTGGTACTCTAAAACGACTGTAATGACAGTTATTCCTTATATAATAAAGACAGGTTCTATGATTAGGTACAAAAGCAGTAATAGGTTCTTAGAATATATATGGTATTATCTGTATATCACAAATTAATGTACAAAGTCTGCGTGTCGAATGATTTTTGTATGATCACTTCTGTTCGTCTTAGTACGGTTTCAGGTCATTGATGACGCCCAACGAGTCGATTGTATTCAGTTGAGTCCATTAGTTTTGGCCATTTCGGTAGTTATTTTTGGGTCTGTGTGGGTAGGCTTCTGGAACCAGCCCTTATTACATCACCAGGGAGAAAATTAGTTGACCATAGTTTAAAGGGTAACGAAATAAAATATTTTAATTCGAATAAGCTTACAAAAGACGATGGTCATGGGAAATTTGTGACGCAAACTGTATGAAAATTCAGAAGTGTAGGAATAATGCGTAAATGAAGATAACAGACAAGATGCGAGTCATCTACTAGATAAAGGTAGCTCTAGTAGGAAATGGTAATGCATGGGTTAGTGTATGGTTGCATCAGGTCTTTCCTGATGCTAAGGGTTTGTGGTCACTTACTGGGAGAGCATCACAGCTGGGTACAACTCCTGATGAGAAATATGTGATTACGGCTGGGTTTTCCCCCTTTGTTATGCAATTTTTCAAAGGCTTCCTCTGGGAGAACCGTATCGAGTTTGTCACAGTGAGTATTTGTTATGTTATCTGTCATCATTGAGTCGCTTTTTACTTTCCTATAGCCTGGCTAGAAGTCCCAAATAGTAAGGTATCTCTTCTCGAGATACTACATAAATCTGAGATTCGCTCCCTAGCCTTGTCATCCACTTTTTCGTTCGTCCCTATTTGTTTTGAGAAAGTCATGCGTCTCATAAAGAAGGATATCCAACAACGTCCTGATCCATGGTATTCAACTCACTAATCTGCATTAGTTATCCTTGATCTTGAGGATGCCTGGTAAACTGTTAAACTTTTGATGATCAGCTATTTAACATCAAAACTATTTAGCTTGACGAATGGCTTGAATGCTGTTCATTAACATTTCAGTGATTCTACATGTGTAATTGGACTGTATGTAAAATCTGGACAAGCCATAGAAAAAAATAAATTCCTATATGTGATGAAACTTTTTCCTTTGACAACAGCACGAAACTGTTAACAAAAGTTCATTGTTCAGTTACAGAATAGTGCAAATGTTACCAACAGACTGTTATTTATAGAGCTTAGTTAAATAACAAGTAAATAATACCATGTATACATCAGTACCTACTACTAAACATAAGGGATACAAAGGTATGATTATAGTTGTTTAGAAAAAGCTGGAGTCTTGGCATTACAGTTAGTTGCGTGGTCATATCAAACCCCAGGCTGTTGTTTGTAAGCAACTTCAATAACAGAAAATATTCCTGTCATCCTAAAATAGCGAAGAAAAGACGACAAAAATTTCATCTTTGAACGCTCAGTCAGTTCTAATGACCCCATGACCCACATATTGATATTAATGTTTTTCGTAAAGTTTGTCCAAATGTATCACCCATCATTCGCTTTCAGATTCTTAAAACAGCAGAGGTTCTTTTCATTCACGAAATGGAGCCTGAACTCCATGTTTAAAAAGAATTTGTCTTATCGTCGTCTTTTTCTTGGCCTTACACGTCAATATCATTGATGCCTATTTCATTGTCATAGAATATGAAAATATTCCTCCATTTTAATCTCCTCCTAAATACCATTGGTTTTATTCATGATCATCTCGGATATCAAGACATTTTATTGAACCATTCTGATATCATTAGTAATTACAACAAAACGTGTTAATTATTTTACTCTACCCATATTACTATCCACAGTTAACTTATTAACTTTTACACTACTTTTATTCATAAATAAATAACATTTTATTGTTACTGTTTACCCCCTGTAATGTAGTATTGTGGTCTTCCTGTTAATTCAGCATGTCTTTTTACTGTTCATATGCTCTCGTAGAATTAAAGCTTGACATGCTTGTAAAATGATACTTATAGAAATAGTGTTTTACAACGGAATGTGAAACATAGAGCATCATATGAGACACATTTTTTCTTGAAACAAACCTTAATGAGCCTAACATCACATAAGGAGGAGGTGGAGTTACGGACCAACAATCACCGGTGGCAAGGGCGATATCTTGTTTGTAGGGCAGGATATTTTGTTCGTTTCAGGCTCTTAATGATTAAGGATGAGGAAACCAATCAGTGATACTGAGGTTGTTATCCTATGCTTACTAATCAGACTAATGTTGAGTTCGCTATTCTACCAAGACAACATATCACATGCTAACACAATATTTTATGATCTTGTGGCTAGCACCAGGTGAAAAAATCTAAGGAAGACAATCAGTTATACAAACGGAAATGGATGGTGGTTAGACGTGAAATTCAGCACGCGTATTTCGTTCTTTTTAAGACTCGTCAGAAGGATGTAGCTTCAGAGTGGCTGTTCACTCTGAGGCTCGAAACCAGCATCGATCACTTCAAACGTCATCACATCATTTACTTAGCTACTGAATCCAGATAGCCTCTATCTTGTGCAACGAGGTGAAGTTTTAGTTCATTTTCGTACTGGTTGTTTTAAGTTTTCCTATTGATTTTTAGGACTGTAGTTGATCAGTCACTTGTTGGCATGTGTGAATCCCGATGTTGACATTCACTCTGGAATGCGGAAACATCCTGCTGACGAGTCCCAAATAGAACGAAACACGCGTCCTGAATTTTACTTCTAACCACCAACTATCTCTGTTCATAATCTTGATGACTTGAGGCAAATTTGAGGCAACCCGCACAGGATGTACATCTGTCAAAAGAGATTGATCAGTTGCAGTCCTGAACATTATTAGGAAGACTGAAACAACCAATACAAAGATGAATTAAAAACCAGTTACAGATATTAGCGTTTCTTAGCATTGCTCTGTTTTGATGTGCTTTCCATTCCTCTAAACAGTTTTCCTTATTCCAAATTCAACTTCCCTTTCATCATTCGAACCCTTTTCACCATGTTACATAACACAACTGATTGTTCTGTGTTACCATAATCCTTTCTTGGAAGACTAACAGCACTTCACTTCAGCAACATAAGCTATTACGACTTTTACCTACCGATACGTCATCCTTTGTTCTGTTTCACTACAAACTGTTAATCGTAGTTTAGAGTTTATGCTCAAATGCTTTGCTGCTCTCGGTGAACAGCTATAGGGTTTCTTACGCCTGAAACAATCTTAATGTTAACAGACAAATGTCGTAAACTATAGATCATACCTGTTCTCGCAGAAAGATATTAATACGTACAGATAAATATATTCGTGACTGAACAGAATGATGGCAAATTCATCAAAACGAGATCTCTTCTCTGCATTTCATGTTTTTGATCTGCGATTCGTTCTATCATCTGAAAACTAGACGTCTAAATTTAAACTGATTTTGCCAATCCAAAACCACTAACAAATACTAATCTTCATAAGTGAACGACCAAATTTGATAACTGGCAAATATGGCGGACTATTTATATTCAGAATTGTTCATATTTTCTAGAGAGTTTTTATCATGAAAAAGCCTTTATTACTCTACTGACTAACCTGAGGGAAGATGGGAGCAAAATCAACAATTAGTTTGCTGATGCACGTGAAGTAACTACATAGCCGCATTCGGCTTTACTATCAAGAAATAAATGATATCTTCATACCGCTTGAGTCGATACTAGGTCCTTTAGGACGTTATACTACAGCGTTGTTCTAATTCTATTCTGAATCTCAAAAAAGTGAGCATGCGAAGTAGCCTAGTAGCCAACAGGAGTTAAGCATTAAACTCAGTCGCACCTCGCCGGTACTGCCTTATTGATAGGAGGACGTTTATTGTGTCATTTACCAAAAGAATGTTATTAGTCCCCTGTAGTCAGGCTAGGTGAAGTGATCAATAATCAAGTTGTATGAAAACTGCTACCTTTTATGCCAACAAGATCACCGACTTACAAAGATAGACAGAGTTGTTCTTTAAGAGAACACTGATTATTTCATTACATAAAAGCAGAAAATTAGACCTTCTCAATTTACTGTTTGGGCTAAGCAAACGGTGAAGTCTAGCTGAGATAATACCAAGTACCATCACGTTTGCAAAATTATGTTGTGTGAGGTTGGTAGCGAAAATAGATTGCAGTATCTGAGGAACATTTAACTGACTAGGTACCTGCTACATGAGACCATGAATCGGATAACGCAAGAAAAAATGCAAAGATAATAGAAGAGTATATTTCTAAAACTCAAAACGAACCAATATGTTATCTGAATAAATTACTTGTCAAAATATCTATTTACAGTCAAATTAACAGTAACATTTGTATGGACCTAACGAAATGGTATTCAACATCAATTAACTGACAATTTAACGAATAATCACAGATATACAATGTCAAAAAATTAATATCTGCGACTCACCAATACAAATGGCTCGATGACTCCGCATAATGTGGTTACATATCATAAAAATTAGGATGATAATTCAGGAATGTATCGCTGACTCAATTACAACAGAAACAGGCATAAACATGGAGATTATTTATCTGGGGAAATCTGTCAAAAATCGCTGGTTTATTGAGAACAAAATCTAGATTAAATATGAAAATAAATTTTGAATACGTATATTTTATAAAATCCATGAATTAAACAGACAATAAGATAAGCGAATTGGAGAAAAAGACCAAAGACAAGCGCTTCAAATCCATGTCATCAGGCGTGACTTAATATTCATGCCCAGATGAAAATAAACCAAAAAATATATGTTTAATGGAGTAAGTGATGTACACGTAAGCTCATATTAATTGTGTCAGTATTAATTAGTGTATAATTGACAAAGTCAAAATGGCCCTCAGTTTGATGGTATAAATTCTAAAGATTCTACCTAAGGCTATCAATCTACCAAATTTAAAGTGT